TTTTTGAGCAGTGAATTTTCAAAAAATTTAAGGGAAAACCTATGAGTCGGCAGCATTAAATAGTAGTAGATTATTCGCATCAAGGATTACTGATGAAGAATTAAATACTGTTGAAGAAACGCAGAGTTCGCTTGAAAAGACGTACAAATAAACGCTGTAATCAAGAATTGTTAAGAAAAGAGTAACCGTTCAGTGTAAGAAGGGGGTAAAAATTAGAGGTGATTTCCATACATGTTGTATTAGAGATAGAATACATAAAATCTCATTGACATCAAAGTGTTCAAATGAAGATAATGCAGTAGGAGAATTAGGCTGACTAATGACCTGGACAGTCTGGTGCTCTAAAACTATACTCCACAAAGAAATGCAATTAAATGGAACAATTAGCTATAGTGAACATAACTACCATTAAGAAAAGAATATAACTCATCGTTCGAAATTGCGTCCATTGTCCTTCCTTCATCCATAGAAATTATGCTTCCTTAGTAAGCTGCAGTTTGCTCGAATACCATGAAGCAGTAATAAAAAAAAAACGGTTTCCAATGCTCGTTCTAAAGCATAAGCTGATCATTAAATAGATTCAAGTTAATTAAGTCCAAATTCTATACAACCGCAAGTTCATGGATATTGAACAGGGCCTATACTTTCAAAAAAGTTAAGAGATCGTAAGTTCATCAGCCAATCATTGACGGCCTTTTATTGTTGATAATTCGATCTGTTGATAATGTTGATAATTCGATCTGTTGAAAATGTTGATAATTCGATCGAATAGCGATGTATCCGGTGACAGCCATGCGAACAATAGGTTAGATAAGCGCTATCTCAACTCGAGCTAAATCGAAGAGGTTTATCTCACTATATATAGTCACAAAGAGCGTATCACACAAAAGGCACGTAACTACTTCGCGATGTTGCGCAATCCGCATTAACATCGCGTTTAATGTAAGAACAAATCGACGTTTTCCCGTCACACTATATTTCTCTTCCGGCATCACTCCTCGAAAGTTCCCGTCACACTATATTTCTCTTCCGGCATCACTCCTCCAAATTTCTCGTCACACTATATTTCTCTTCCGGCATCACTCATCGAAATATCCTAAGCGGGAAATAATAATACGCTTCGATCATCACAATCTATGTCGTACGCCTTTCAAACAGTATTGATCAGCATTTTATGAAGGTGAACTAGTCACAATGCAACGCATACGTACAGAAGTTCATCCATGAATTTTTTACAGAATCCTCAATTTCTCACACAGCGAGCGGCGGCTTTTGCAGCCAACTTGAATATATTTCATAAGTGTATTTTCCGAGCACAGGCTTCAAAGTATTATAATTGTAAACGCATGATATCGAAAGTGCATACTCCCTTATAAACTTTAATGGCCGTCGACAACTGAGACAGAAAATCAGCAAAATCAACGCTATAAATAACCTAATCAGCGGTAGTATCATGTTCAAGGTAGCCAATATATAAATAGCAAAAACAATCACTTATCACCGACAGAATCGAACTTACAAACGACAATAAAAGCTGAACACATGAGTACGATTGAAGCTCTTCAAACAACCCAGAGGAACGTTCGGAAATAAGTTTAATGCAACTTTTTTTCACTCGCAGACTAGGCTCCATTAAACCATTTATTATCGGTCGTAAGCTTAAACATAAACAACCTATGGACCTGGGGCCGGATTATCAAAACTTCGTAACTTTTTCTACTTACGACAAAAAAGTTCTGTGGTACGTGAATACACCCTAATTTTGACATTATCAAAACTTTCGTACGCAAGTCTTAGCTAAAAGCCTAAATTTTTTTCCCGCGCAAATGTTTTTATAATACCATCGCTAGTTTTACATTGTTATAGCAACACCACTCGTAAGTCGATTTTGCGTACTTACGAAGTTTTGATAATACGGCTCCTGGGCCTTTTGGACCTGGGCCAGTACTTTCAAAAAAAGTTAAGAGATCGTAAGTTCATCAGCCAATAATTGACGGCCTTTCCAGCAAAATCCACCAATCATAGACCAGAAAATAGAGCGTAAGTACTTACGTTCACTTAGCCAGTTTTGAAAGTATGGCCCCAGTGAGTGTAGGCACTCTACCTCCATGCCCGTATATCGTCGACAGCTCAGTGCTGGCCATGGACATTGTTTTCAAGTTATCTTAACAAATACATTACCATAAAAGCATAATAGTTCATTACATAGAAGCTCCACCCAAAAAATGTAAATATCCAGAAAAATGTACAATGGAAACATGACTACAAAAACCCATTGCAAGGAGTAAATGTATTGATTTTCTCGTTGAACTTCAACCCTTTAAGTTTCGAGGTTTCATTGGTTACAATGGCTATGAAAAGTAAGTTATTCATGATAATTGACTAATTTAAACCCATGTGAAACATTAACATTTTCATAAGCTCATACATCGTTGTCACGTTAGCGGCGCGTCTAACCTCAGTGGCGATACATCGGAACAATTTGATGGGTAATACGTACGATCTATACAACTGCTACGATCTTTAAAGGTTTTTTGCTTGGCAATGAAAGGAGAAAGATTGCATGACACATAAACGTCGTAGCACAGTGGCGCTAGAAGACAATTGGTTACCAAAAATACAATAAAGACAATGCTTGATGGTTCGTCATCAATCAAGAGACCAATTATAGTAGTATCATTTAACCCTCTACCGCCTGACATGAGTAACCGGAGCAATATTGTCACGCTCCTTTATACTTCCCAAAAAGGATACGTTGCTAGTGAGCGCAAAATGACTTGCACTGATGGTTGCCGCCACGTACGACAACTTTGAAATGTTCTCTGTTGCGTACTAACGTCCTCAGGTTGCTGCACTCAATAGTTTACGTATAATTTAAGTTGAAAGTTACTCTAAAATGTTCTCTGTTGCGTACAAACGTCCTCAGGTTGCTGCACTCAATAGTTTACGTATAATTTAAGTTGAAAGTTATGTTCCCGGAGAGTGACATACGGCGGTAGAGGGTTAAATGCACCATTGCTCGCATAGCATTACCACACGTTTAGTCCATCACTGCTGCAGTAGACATCGAGGCTCAATCAAAGGATGACCGCCATTGATCAAATAATGAATTTACGAAGTTCACGAGTTGAGAAAGATTGCCTCGAGATGTGATTTCGTCTAAATCAAGAACCGGCAGCGGTATTAACAGCAATGAACCCTATAAGACACAAGATATTTCAGGTTTACAAGTTTCCTCATGATTTTCAGATGAAGATGTGCTTGTAAAGTATTAACCTGAAACGAGGAGCACTAGAATGTTAAGAAGCTGCATCAACGTCAATAATCGTCAAGGTGGTCAGAGTTGTGTGATGAACACATGCTTTACCGAACCATCAGATGAACACATGGTTTACCGAACCATCAGATGAACACATGGTTTACCGAACCATCAGATGAACACATGCTTTACCGAACCATCTAGCGCCTGAAGTCACCCAAAGAAACATCAGCAACGTGGTGAATCTAGAATAGATAGGGCAAGTCTATTAAATCCAAATTAGTATTAAATGGCAGAATTTTCTCATTGAAACACGTACGAATAATGACCAAATTGGTATAAATGGTGGTAAAAGTTCAAATGGTAAAAAAAATCATCAAATTAAACATTTTTCGTACACCACAAAAGGTAGAATGATTCAAATGGGCAGTCAAATGAAGCTAGCGTCAAGAAAGAGCGGCGCTGGCATCTCATAAATTCGAAGTACCAAGGAAGGACATGCGAACAACAAAGAAGAACGGGCGCGTACAAGAGCTCACTCATACGTGCCGTGTCTCTTGTACCAGGGGATGAGAGCGCAGCCAATTCTGCTTACACAACCCCGCTACCTGGACCGAGGGTCTTACACAACTCCGCGACCTGGACCGAGGGTCTTACACAACTCCGCGACCTGGACCGAGGGTCTTACACAACTCCGCGACCTGGACCGAGGGTCTTACACAACTCCACGACCTGGACCGAGGGTCTTACACAACTCCGCGATTGGACCGAGGGTCTTGCATCAAAAGCTCTGCTGTGGTTGGTGGATTTCTTCCCCTCTCAGAAATAATGCATCCAAAAACTTGACATCACAAAAGACTTGAAACAGCACGCGTCAGAAGTCTGCCCTGAGGATCTTTTGGTTGGTTCTTTCATTGAAACAACAGCAACTAGCAAAACTCGGCTCAATAAAAACAACACCATTGTAAATAATTAAGAGAATATTGTTATAGCTATGAATATGACTTATATGAGACGTTTCCAACAGTTCCGTTGTCATGAGTAAACGTATGTTTTCTATTAAATTAACCTGCTATTTAACAACGGTAGCTCTGACTGCCAGGCCCATAGGTCATAATAACGTGACGACGGCTAATGTAATCAAAGGCAAAGGGTATTCAATATACATCTTATATATTCACATGCATGAATAATTCTCAATTCCTTAATTGGTAGACTATTGGTACCATTGTTTTTCAAGCGCGGAAATTACACAGGATTCGTTGCAAGTGAAACAATATTCAACGCACATTTGTTCAATCTCTGTAAATTCATTTGCATTCGCAAGTTCAGTGGCTTGAACGGCGGTCAATAGGTTGTGTCTCAAGTAAGTTGCTAGGCCTGAAAGATTGAAAACTTCACGATAAAGAAGATTTTTTTCCATTTTCTTCTAAGCGCGGAAAAGTTTCAAATTTAAAGTCACAGAGAGTCAAGGAAGTTGCTAGGCCTGAAAGCCTGAAAACTTCACGATAAAGAAGATTTTTTCTATGTAAGTTTCAAATGTAAAGTCACAGAGATTAGCTATCAATTTTATAATGCATGGATATATAGATAATATATATAGATAATATATTGCAGCAAGTGTTATAAGTAGCGAAAGTATCTGTTATGATTAACAGAAAATAATGGTACAGTTTGTAAGCAAGATGATTGTGCCAAACTTACACACAAGTCCACAATTTTTTTTTTCGGGCTGCCTAGACATAAAATTTTCTGTACAATACCTACGATGTCTCTGAATGAAAAAATCACAAGGTTTCTTATGGGCTGCCTAGACATAGAATTTACTGTACCTACGATGTCTCTGAATGAAAAAATCACAAGGTTTCTTATGGGCTGCCTAGACATAAAATTTTCTGTACCACGCGATGTCTCTGAATGAAAAACTTATTCATTCGGTAGCTACAAGAATGCAGAGTCAAATAAAACTTGACTGGATAATGTGAACCTAACGTTTACTTAAGTAATTCCCTTCCACGTATTTTTTATTGTAACATAATATCCTAATATGATAGTTGTCATATTTAGCGCTAAAAATAAATAAAGTTATCATTGGAAATAAGAGTATCGTCCACAGTTATTATTATCTAAGTCCTAGAAAATGCGATTGAATTACTATTCACTTTAGACGGCATTCTGTTTCAAAACGACTTCAGAATTAGTATACGGTATATAGAATCATTTATTTCGAAGGCAACAATTCCCAAATGGGTGTTGCTTTGGAATTAAATATATCTACACAAAAATGTTTCTTTCAAGATTTACAAGAAGTTTTTTTACGTCAATGGGCAGCAGTAGCGACAGTAAATTAGAATGGAATATTTTAGCACAACACAACCCACAAAATTAGTTTTTGGCAGGAGCATACAATGACGAAGGACAGCTCGACACTTGGTAAGCACGACTTAGCACGACTAAGCATGACTCAGCACGACTGAGCACCACTTAGCATGACTGAGCACGACCCAGCACGACTTAGTACGACTTAGCACGACTGAGCACGACTTAACACGACTCAGCACGACTTAGCACGACTGAACACGACTCAGCACGACTTAGCACGACTCAGCACGACTTAGCACGACTCAGTACGACTTAGTACAACTCAGCACGACTTAGCACGACTCAGCACAGCTTAGCACGAACTTAGCACGACTCAGCACGACTTAGCACGACTTAGCACGACTGAGCACGACTTAGCACGAATTTAGCACGACTCAGCACGACTGAGCACGACTTAGCACGACTGAGCACGACTGAGCACGACTCAGCACGACTCAGCACGACTTAGCACGACTTAGCACGACTTAGCACGACTTAGCACGACCCAGCACGACTTAGCACGACTCAGCACGACTCAGCACGACTCAGCACGACTGAGCACGACTGAGCACGACTTAGCACAACTGAGCATGACTTAGCACGACTCAACACGAATCAGCACGACGCTGCACTAGTAATCAAACACGATGTTGGTTAGCGATGGCACGGCCAATCATCAAAGATTGGCTATGCCATCAATTGGCCTATGATTGGCCATCAATTGGCCCATGATTGGCCATCAATTGGCCTATGATTGGTCATCAATTGGCCTATGATTGGCCTATGATTGGCCTATGATTGGCCATCAATTGGCCTATGATTGGCCATCAATTGGCCTATGATTGGCCATCAATTGGCCTAAGATTGGCCATCAATTGGCATATGATTGGCCATCAATTGGCCTATTATTGGCCATCAATTGGCCTATGATTAGCCATCAATTGACCTATGATTGGCCATCAATTGACCTATGATTGGCCATCAATTGGCCTATGATTGACCAACAATTGGCCTATGATTGACCATCAATTGACCTATGATTGACCATCAATTGGCCTATGATTGACCATCAATTGGTCCTATGATTGGCCATCAATTGGCCTATGATTGGCCATCAATTGACCTATGATTGGCCATCAATTGGCCTATGATTGGCCAACAATTGGCCTAATATTGACCATCAATTGACCTATGATTGACCATCAATTGGCCTATGATTAGCCATCAATTGGCCTATGATTAGCCATCAATTGGCCTATGATTGGCCATCAATTGGCCTATGATTGGCCATCAATTGGCCTATGATTGGCCATCAATTGGCCTATGATTGGCCATCAATTGGCCTATGATTGGCCTAAGATTATCGAAGACTATGATGCAAAGGTAACGGTCATTATCGCAAGCTGCGCCGTCCCGTGGGCTTGGCGAGGATGATCTCTTCTTCAGAGTCCGAGAAGTCGTTCTGGGCGGCGGCGGCGGCGGCCTGGCTGCGCGACGTCGAGCGAGCGCTCGTCTTGCTTCGCTCCCTGCGACTGCTTTTTGCGGGCGGACTGTAATATAAATGACAATAAATATACAATACCGTAAAAACAATAAAGTTGAGGGCGGACTGTAACAGAAATGACAATAAATATACGGTAAAGTTGACAGTGCAGTAATATACGACGCTAAGCGAGTGCTCGTCTTGCTGCGCTCCCTGCGACTGCTTTTTGCGGGCGGACTGTAATATAAATGGCAATAAATATACAATACAATAAAAACAATAAAGTTGACAGTGCAGTAGAGTTTTGTTGACAGTGTTTTGTTCTATATTCTACAATTGACAGTGCAGTAGTGTTTTGTTGACAGTGTTTTGTTCTATATTCTACAAATACATTAATTGCTGGCGGACTGTAACAAAAATGGCAATAAATATACAGTAAAGTTGACAGTGCAGTAATATTATACCCCTATGGGAACCATATTTTATTGCACGTATTTCTACTGGGATCTTTTTTTTCTAGCAACTAATTCTCAATATATTATGGTTCCCCTAGGTTCGGTACAACCTTATTGCTTCACATCACGTCTAATTGACAACAGTGAACAAAAATAATGGTGCCACTAATAGAATAATGAGTGATGTCAGGTAAACGAAGTTTAGTTGAATTTAGTTGAATCATTAAAGTTTAGTTTAGTTGAATCATTTAAATGTATTTTAAGAGACTTACCGAGGCAATGTAAGCAGAACTAAATGACTAAAGGCTCAATACGACTATTAATATAAAGCTAAGAAGAGGCAGGCGACTGGTCAGGCGACTATAAATATTAGGAAGATACCTGCTGAGATCATCAGACGAAGAGACAGACGAGTGGTCAGGCGACTATAAATATAAATATAAAGAAGATACCTGCTGAGATCATCAGACGAGGAGGCAGGCGACTATAAATATAAAGCAAAGAAGATACCTGCTGAGATCGTCAGACGAGGAGGCAGGCGAGTGGTCAGGCGAGACCCTGGGCGAGGTGGGGGGCGATATGGCATGCAAGACTGAGTCTTTTTGGTCAGGCGACTATAAATATTAAGATACCTGCTGAGATCGTCAGACGAGGATGCAGGCGAGTGTTCAGGCGAGACCCTGGGTGAGGTGGGGGGCGATATGGCATGCAAGACTGAGTCTTTTTGGTCAGGCGACTATAAATATTAAGATACCTGCTGAGATCGTCAGACGAGGAGGCAGGCGAGTGTTCAGGCGAGACCCTGGGTGAGGTGGGGGGCGATATAGCATGCAAGACTGAGTCTTTTTGGTAGATACCTGCTGAGATCATCAGACGACGAGACAGGCGACTATAAATATTAAGAAGATACCTGCTGAGATCATCAGACGAGGAGGCAGGCGAGTGTTCAGGCGAGACCCTGGGCGAGGTGGGGGGCGATATAGCATGCAAGACCGAGTCTTTCTTCTCCACCAGGTACTGCGTCAGTCTGCCCTCGCGCCCAAACATCATAAGGAACGCGTCGATAAAGTCGCGGCTTTTTTCTTCCCACTTCGCCAGGACTTCGCTGCGACGCTCAAGTTCTGCGTATATAAAGTCCTTGCCCTTCTTCTTCAGGTCGTCCATCTTGTTCTGAAGTCTGTAACGCTTCTCCTGTAAATAAATTATGTTTAAATGTTTTGCTATATATTCTATATGTACATTAAGATGAAAGTTCTGCGTATATGAAGTCCTTGCCCTTCTTCTTCAGGTCGTCCATTTTGTTCTGAAGTCTGTAACGCTTCTCCTGTAAATATATTAATTTTAAATTATTTGTTATATATAATATACATTATTCGCTGCGACGCTCCAGTTCTGCGTATATAAAGTCCTTGCCCTTCTTCTTCAGGTCGTCCATTTTGTTCTGAAGTCTGTATCGCTTCTCCTGTAAATATATTAACTTTAAATGTTTTGTTATATATTCTACAAATACATAAACGTGAAATCGTTTGTCCTATATTCTACAAATATATTAACTTTAAATGTTTTGTTATATACCTATCCTACAAATAGATTAAGATGAAATATTTTGTTCTACGTATATTCTACAAACACATTAACATGAAATGTTTTGTTCTATATTCATCAAATACATTAACATGAAATGTTTTGTTCTATATTCATCAAATACATTAACATGAAATGTTTTGTTCTATATTCTACAAATACATTAACATTTAACATGAAATGTTGTATTCTATATTCTACAAATACATTAACATGAAATGTTTTGTTCTATATTCTAACTCTTTAGAGATACAACTGACTTTAATACTCAAAATCATGTACAAGAGGAACGATGAAACGCATTGATTTTCTTGATAATGTTGCTATAGCTTCATTCCTGTTCACACACCTCAAACTGATATCAGACGACAAAATCATTCCTTTAAACGTGACAAAAATATTAAAAAATGATAAAAATAATAATAAAAACACTAATAATAGAAAGAAAATTATAATGAAAAAAATATTAGGTAAAATGAGCGAAATGTGCGGTAGAAACAAAACTATAATGGAAAAAACTTAGGTAGAAAGAGCAAAGGGTACCTACCATATCTGTACTTACAAAACAATAATGTACATAAAATTATAATGAAAAAAAAAATTAGGTAGATATAAAAACAAATAATAATAAAAACAATAATAATAGAAACAAAATATAATGAAAAAAATTAGGTAGGAAGAGCGAAGGGTACATCTGTACTTACAAAACAATTATGTACATAAAATTGTAATAAAAAAAAAATTAGGTAGATATAAAAACAAATAATAATAAAAACAATAATAATAGAAACAAAATTATAATGAACAAAAAAATAAGTTGAAAGAGCGAAAGGTATTTGTACTTACGTTGATGAAGCCGACGTTGAGTTCCTTTGCACTATATCCCCTGGCTTTGTCCTTACGTTAATGAAGCCGACGTTGAGTCCCTTTGCACTATATCCCCTGGCTTTGTCCTTACGTTTATGAAGCCGACGTTGAGTTCCTTTGCACTATATCCCCTGGCCAGGTTCCTCCTGACGTAGACGTCGTAATCTTTAGGGTATTTGTACTTACGTTTATGAAGCCGACGTTAAGTTCTTTTGCACTATATCCCCTGGCCAGGTTTCTCCTGACGTAGACGTCATAATCTTTAACAATCCTGGAGACAACGTCGCTGGTGGAGACGCCCTCCGTCCTCTCCGTCGTGACGAACATCCCGCGCTCTTTGATGTGCGCGTACACGTCCTGGCTCGACCCCGTCGTGTAGGGGATGTCGTCGTGCGCCACGAAGTCGATCTTAAAGTCATTTATAGTAGTGAAAATAAGTGTAATAAATACTTAAATTTGATCTTAACTAAGTCATTTATAGTAGTGGAAATGAGTGAAATAAATGTTTCAATTTGATCTAAACTAAGTAATTTATAGTGGTGAAATAAACTGAGATATCAATGGTCCTGGCTCGACCCCGTCGTGTACGGGATGTCGTCGTGCGCCACGAAGTCGATCTTAAAGTCATTTATAGTAGTGGAAATGAGTGAAATAAATGTTTCAATTTTATATAAACTAAGTCATTTATAGTAGCGAAATGAACTGCCATAAATGCTTCAATTTAATCTTAATAAAGTCATTTATAGTAGTGAAATGAACTGCCATAAATGCTTCAATTTGATCTAACAAAGTCATTTATAGTAGTGAAATTAAGTGCCATAAATGCTTCAATTTGATCTTAATAAAGTCATTTATAGTAGTGAAAATAAGTTAAATTAACTGCCATCTCAATGAGTTCTAAGCACGGTCAAATGCTTCAATGCGACTTGTGTAATTTAAATATTATTAGAAAAATGTGAAGTTGTACCTAATGCTACCAATGGCCTTGATAAGCTTATAAATGTGCATTAGAAATTTTTCAACTCAAAATGATAGCATACAAGCGAGAGCAGTAACATTAGCATTTGTTTCGGAAGAAAATCGTTCTAAATTGATTATTAAGAAGAAAATCGTTCAAACTAAATTATTATTATCATATTTTATTATTAATAATTAATAAACGGACTAAAAGTTATCAATGGAATAAAAAATCAGATTTGCCTGTGAGTTATCGCTATATAATATAGTATATCTAAATTGTTATCTAATATATATCTAATTGTCATCTAACAATTGAATGCATTATACCAGTAATTATGAATACCAGTAATTATGACGGTAAGAATACCAGTAATTATGATGGTAAGAATACCAGTAATTATGACGGTAAGAATACCAGTAATTCTAATAGTAAATACCAGTAGTTCTAATAGTAAGAATACCTTATGATATACCAGTAATCATGATAGTATTAATACCAGTAATCACGAGGTAATACCTTATGTTTAAGTAGGAACTCGTCATCAAGCGTCCAGGGCGCGTCAGGCACGACTTATGATGGTAAGAATACCAGTAATTCTAATAGAAATACCTGGTAATACCTTATGATATACCAGTAATTATGACGGTATTAATACCAGTAATCACGATGTAATACCTTATGTTTAAGAAGGAAGTCGTCATCAAGCGTCCAGGGCGCGTCCGGCACGACTTATGACGATAACAATACCAGTAATTCTAATAGTAAGAATACCAGTAATCAGGGCGGTAATAATACCAGTAATTGTGAAGGTAATACCTTATGTTTGAGAAGGAAGTCGTCATCAAGCGTCCAGGGCGCGTCCGGCACGACTTATGATGGTAAGAATACCAGTAATTCTAATAGTAATAATACCAGTAATAATAATAGTATTAATACCAGTAATCACGATGTAATACCTTATGTTTAAGAAGGAAGTCGTCATCAAGCGTCCAGGGCGCGTCCGGCACGACTTCGTCGACGTAGCGACAGTGCCGCACGGCCTCGTAGCGCTCAGCCTCCGACATGACCGTGCGCCCCTTGCGCGAGTGTGTCAGAGCGTCGCTGCAAACTGTGTCACAAGTTGACTGTTATTGTAAACTGTGTCACAAGTTAACTATTATTGTATGGCAGTAGCTATATATTGCGCGAGTGTGTCAGAGAGTCGCTGCAAACTGTGTCACAAGTTAACTGTTATTGTAAACTGTGTCACAAGTTACTATTATAGTATGGCAGTAGCTATATATTGCCACGGTCAATACTACTTATAGGCACTGTATATGTACCGTGGCAGAAGTGCCACATGCGAATGATGGTAAAAAATTGATTGAAACAGATTATAAATAGTAGCTTTGTGGAAGAAATAATACGAAGCTACCGTTATAAGTATGAAATAGTGCACCTGTTAAGATGAGCGACATTCAAGAACAGAGATCAAACTGATAACAGAATGCAATCCCTTAAAAAACAGAATGCAAACTCTAGAAGAATTAATAGAACAGTACCTTGGGAAGCTTCTATCAAGTGACGACAAAACACAGTCCAGATCGTCAAAAATCTTCATTCCGGGTTGAAGAAAAAGTTGGTCATATATAATCATCGTGATCAAACAGCCTTATTAATAATTCTATTCAACGACGACGTCTGAATGAAGGCATTCTATTGAAGGCATAGTTGTAGTAACGACTGAACGACTGACCGCCCACAAGCAGGTAGACATTGGGGAAGACGTTAATGACTGAACGACTGACCGTAATGACTGAACGACTGACCGTAATGACTGAACGACTGACCGCCCACAAGCAGGTAGACATTGGGGAAGACGTTAATGACTGAACGACTGACCGTAATGACTGAACGACTGACCGTAATGACTGAACGACTGACCGCCCACAAGCAGGTAGACATTGGGGAAGACATTCTTGGCCTGCATGAGTTGCCTGGCATGGCCCTGATGGAAGAGGTCGTAGATGCCATCAGCGTAGACGCGTACAGGGCGTCTCGTCCTGCCCGCCGCAGCGTCCGTCTGAGAGATGCGGTGATACTCGCACTGTTCGCGCTCACGTACAGCCTCTGCGTCGTGGCTGAACGGCGCTGGTCTGAAGATCGTCTGCAGAATTAAGTTTTACTTTAAATATAAGTAATTGCCGTATTAAATTTCCAGATTAAAAGTTGAAAAGATTAAAGATTGAAGCGCTTGAACCAACTGCCAGATTAAAGCGCTTGAACCAACCGCCTCCGCGTCGTGGCTGAACGGCGCTGGTCTGAAGATCGTCTGAAGCATCAAGTTTTACTTAAAAGTTAAGTACTTCTATGCCGTATTAAATTTCCAGATTAAAAGTTAAAAAGATTAAAGATTAAAGCGCTTGAACCAACCGCCTCCGCGTCGTGGCTGAACGGCGCTGGTCTGAAGATCGTCTGCAGCATCAAGTTTTACTTTAAATCTAAGTAAGTAGGTACTTTTTTTGACGTGTCAAATTTATACATTAAAGGTTAAAGAAAAAGCGCTTGAACCAACCGCCTCCCGGTGATGGCTGAACGGCGCTGGTCTGAAGATCGTCTGCAGTATTAAGTTTTACTATAAATCTAAGTACTTGCCGTATCAAATTTCTACATAAAAAGTTGAAGAAAAAGCGGTTGAACCAACCGCCTCCACGTCATGGCTGAACGGCGCTGGTCTGAAGATCGTCTGCAGTATCACATTTTAATTTAAAAACTAAGTAAGTACTTTTTTGAAGTGTCAAATTTCTACACATTTCTACATTAAAAGTTGAAGAAAAAGCGGTTGAACCAACCGCCTCCTGGTCATGGCTGAACGGCGCTGGTCTGAAGATCGTCTGCAGTATTAAGTTTTACTTTAAATCTAAGTAAGTACTTTTTTGCCGTGTAAAATTTCTACATTAAAATTGAAGAAAACGTGCTTGAACCAACCGCCTCTGGGTCATGGCTGAACGGCGCCGGTCTGAAGATCGTCTGCAGTATTAAGTTTTACTTTGAATATAAGTACTTTTATGCCGTATCAAATTTCTACATTAAAAGTTAAAGACATTAAAAGTTGAAGAAAAAGCGCTTGAAACAACCGCCTCCCCGTCGTGGCTGAACGGCGCTGGTCTGAAGATCGTCTGCAGTATCAAAACTTTCTTTAAATATAAGTAAGTAGGTACGTAGGTTACTTTTTTGCCGTGTCAAATTTCTACACAAAAAGTTGAAGAAAAAGCGCTCACGTACAGCCTCTGCGTCGTGGCTGAACGGCGCTGGTCTGAAGATCGTCTGCAGCATCAAGTTATATTTTAAATATAAGTACTTCTATGCCGTGTCAAATTTCTACATTAAAAGTTGAAGAAAAATATAACTCAGTACTCACTGCAGTGAGTGACAGAGAGCGCATTTTCTCGTCGACGAAAACGTGAAGTCACGGACGGACGGACGGACATGGCGAGCACAATACTGCATTTTTTTCATAAATGGGAAAATGCGCTAAAAAGCGGGTAAAACAATACATAGAAATGAAACGTACATTGAGATGTTCAACAGTATCAAATTTTACTTTAAATCTAAGTACTTTTTTGCCGTATTAAATTTCTACATTAAAAGTTGAGATGTTCAACATCAAGATGGATGTTTTGTCCCAGGAATGTCCTGGGATTGATTTTGATTTTGTTAAAAATTTTGTTGATTGATTTTGTTAATAGCAAAGTATTGAGCCAAGACGAATAATCAACGCAAAATATGAATTAAAATTTATAATTCACACAAAAAAACAACTCTTCTAAAAATTAATTAAAAAATCTTGAAGTGGTCATGAAGCCCCAACTAGTAAGTATAATTACACTGTCAGCAGAAAACTTACGTTTTAATACTTTTCACAAGCACACTAAATTTACGAAGATCTGGTAAAAAAAATAAAAGAAAATTCGTGATAAATAACGCTGAGTGCAAGGTTATCTTCAAAACTAAGGGATAATTGTGAAGTTGAACAATGTCCCGGGCCTATACTTTCAAAACTGGCCAAGTGAATGTAAGTACTTACGCTCTATTTTCTCGTCTATGATCGGCGGATTATGCTTGACAGGCTGTCAATGATTGGCTGATGAACTTACGATCTCTTAACTTTTTTTGAAAGTATAGTGAACGTAAGTACTTACGCTCTATTTTCTTGTCTACGATTGGTGGATTTTGCTTGAAAGGCCGTCAATGATTGGCTGATGAACTTACGATCTCTTAACTTTTTTTGAAAGTATAGGCCCAGGCCTAGTCATCACCAAGGTTGCAAGACACCGCGTACAGACACCAGCTAAGCTGCTACCGGTTCGCATGCTTGCCTACAACGAAGACTTGTTGACAATTCTACGCATGTATTCTGAAACCTACACTGTTTGAAAAATTACCGTTAACGGTATTACCGGCGTTTCAGTGGCCGGTCGGCACGTGAAAAGAAACACCGTGTCGCCGTTTTTATTCTAATTTAACACTAGAAATCCGTAAAACATCTGATAAAAACGGCAAAACGTTTTTTTTTTCACGGGGCGACCGGCAACTAGAACGCCGGTGAGACCGTTTTTTTTTTAAACAGTGTACGTAAGCAGCAAAGAAACTTGGCTTAACCATGTAATTGTCCCAACTTATACTTAAATAATCTGTGAAATTAAACTACACGTTATAAACCGTGGGTGGCCCAGTGGTTAAAGTTCAGAGTACCAAGATTGGCGCAGAGAGGCGCGGGTTCGATCCCAGCTCTAAGCGCCAGTTTCTGGTCAGAATCGGCGAGGAGGCCGGGCGGTTAATTAAGTGAGTTGCGAGTTCGAGACCGCAACAAGCTGTGGATGTTCTGCGATGTTGAGAATCGGCGTCAGGCCTATGGCCTAATAAACGCTGAAACTGCTATTTTTATTTTATTTATTTTAAACGTACATCATATGAGTAACACATGACTTTATGTTTGAACTAACATAAGCCTGTCGTTGACATACCTCCCTAACAGCAGGTTTCTCTTCCACTCCGCTCTGCATCTCTGAGCGACTACGTTTCATTTTTCGACTAACTTGATTCCTTCAAGAATATTTTAAATAATGTTATTAGTCCACTTTTTGGTCGTTCTCTCTTAAATTCGAAAGGACAAAATCTGAAATTTAAACAAAATACAGAACGTAATTGAAGTAATGATATTCTTCCTTGACCCCGCACGTTCCAGGCACTATAGTACAGGGGCCGTATTATCAAAACTTCGTAAGTACGCAAAATCGACTTATATATATGAGTGGCGTTGCTATGACAACGTAATACTAGCGGTGGTATTATAAAAACATTTGCGCGGGAAAAACATTTAAGCTTTTAGCTAAGACTTGCGTACGAAAGTTTTGATAATGCCAAAATTAGGGTGTATTTACGTACCACAGAACTTTCTTGTCGTAAGTACAAAAAGTTACGAAGTTTTGATAATCCGGCCCCAGAACGGCTATTAATTCTGCACCAGAAACAAATAGTACAGCCACTTTGACTGACAATTACAGGGTCTATGTAATAAAGAACAATTACACAACACGAGCCATGAAAGATACTACTTATACTTACAAACATACAACTTATCACTTATTAAATATGATGACTTGTATGATACAAGTCATCATATTTAATAAGTGATCATCAACACGTAGCGCGTGAAGCACTGACTAACGACTGCAAAAATATTTCACAATTGGCGCTCAATATTTAACGCTTGAAGCATTAACCAACGATAACAAAAAGAAATCGTATCTAATAACTAGCTCTCAATATGTAACGATTGAAGCATTAACCAACGATAACAAAAAGAAATCGTATCAAATAACTAGCTCTCAATATGTAACGATTGAAGCATTAACCAACGATAACAAAAAGAAATCGTATCAAATAACTAGCTCTCAATATGTAACGATTGAAGCACAAACGATAACAAAAAGTAATCGTATCAAATAACTAGCTCTCAATAAGTAACGATTGAAGCATTAACTAACGATAACAAGAAGTAATCCTATCAAATAACTAGCTCTCAATATGTAACGATTGAAGCACTAACGATAACAAAAAGTAATCCTATCAAATAACTAGCTCTCAATATGTAACGATTGAAGCACTAACGATAACAAAAAGTAATCCTATCAAATAACTAGCTCTCAATATATAACGATTAAAGCACTAACGATAACAAAAAGTAATCGTATAAAATAACTAGCTCTCAATATTTAACGATTGAAGCATTGACCAACGATAACAAAACAATCAGAGAAAATGCCTCCAGATCAGCAAATATAAGTGAGGGTGACGACTGAAAGAGTGAGCACAAAATTGAGCACAAAGTATGATAGTGAAAGAGTGAGAACAAAGTATGATAGAGTCCAGAGACCTGGGCCCATACTTTCAAAAAAAGTTAAGAGATCGTAAGTTCATCAGCCAATCATTGACGGCCTTTCGAGCAAAATCCACCAATCATAGACAAGTAAATAGAGCGTAATTATTTACGTTCACTCAGCAAATTTTGACAGTATATGGCCCCTGATCGCTCACGCGAGACACTTGACCGCACGAGACGAGACATACACGAAGACTGTACAGCAAGCCTGACCTTTACAGTAAGCAAGTGTAAGGCGAGCAGTACAAGCATGTATGTATATAAATATATATATATGTATATCAGCAGGCAAACGTGTTAATAGAAGCTATCGCTCGTGATAAAGACATCATGACATTTGAATACGATTCTTATCTATAATCTAATTCGAGCAAAAAAAAAGGAATTCTTTCTAGTTTGGTAAATGAAGAAATGACGAATGCTTAGCCCATACTAATCCACATTTCTTATCAGTTTCGAAGAACCTGGTTAAAAATGATTGACTGTTTGTTATTCAAACGGAGTAGTAGCATTATTAAAACTTGATAATTATTCGGAGAAAAGTTACGTGCTTGAACTGTGGGACTCTCGATTATATTTTCTAAACACATTAAAATTGGAAGCTCATATCGACAACAAAGGAACAAATACGCTATCAGTCGTGAATGGAGAATAATGATAAAAAGTTCAAACGCAGCCTGAAAAGTTACAGTATTATTGCAAGTGAAACGAAAAAATATGCAAAAGATATTTTGCATATTTGTGAATATTACAACACATTACATACTTTGTGAATTTAAAAACACAAACTGAAATTTCGAATGTCTCTGCGGACATATATGGTCGAAAATTTTCTCTCAAGTTTCCCAAGATACTGTATTTTGTCACATGATTGCTTCAATGACTTCAGACAATGGAAATAATGACTTCATTAATGATCGGCTGATTTATAATGGGAAGAATGTAAATCGACCCAGTTTCAAACTGAACTTTAGGAAGAACTACGAACTGGTTCAAGTTAGCTACTATTTCTCTATCAACAGATAGCATAGGGTAGGTA